CAAATGTCGGTGAGGATGTGGAGAAAGGGAACCCTCATACACTGCTGCTGGGAATGCAAACTGGTGCAGCCACTATGGAAAACAGTATGGAGATTTCTCAAAAAAATAAAAATAGAAATACCACATGATCTAGCTATTACACTACTGGTTATTTATCCAAAGAACATGAAATCAATAATTCAAAAAGATATATGCACCCCTATGTCCATCACAGCATTATTCACAATAACCAAGATGTGGAAGCAACCCAAGTGTCCACCAATGGATGAGTGGATAAAGAAGATGTGGTATATATATATATGTGTGTGTGTGTGTGTGTGTGTGTGTGTGTGTGTGTCTGTGTGTGTATACACACACAATGGAGTACTACTCGGCCATAAAAAAGACAAAATTGTGCCATTTGCGACAACATGGATGGACCTTGAGGGTATTATGCTAAGTGAAATGTCAGACAAAGAAAGACAAACACCGTATGATTTCACTCATATGTGGAAGATAAACACATGGATAAGGAGAACAGATTAGTGGTTACCAGAGTGGTGAGTGAAAGGGGTAAAGGGGCACATATGTATGGTGATGGATAAAAACTAGACTATTGGTGGAGAACACAATGCAGTCTATACAGAAACTGATATATAATAATGTACACCTGAAATTTACACAAATTATAAGCCAATATGACCTCAATAAAAATTAAAATTAATAAAATTATAATAAAATTAATAAATAAAATTAATAAATAAAAACTCAGTTCTCCCTCTGTTGAAAAGGGGAATAGAAATTTTCTTCAAAGCACCTAAGTCAGTGCTTTGAAGATACAAAAGACTTAATCCAGACAGGTTCCTCAGTTTTAGACTTGGAGAAAACTTGAACTGGGAGCTGAGATTAAGTGCTAGGAGATTTGGAGATCAGGAAGGCAGGCAAGTACATGGAGAAGGAGTTAAAAGAAAAAACTGGATTCCCTTGACTTCTAACTTGTCTCTTGGTAATAGAGAACTATTAGGAAAACTTTCTTTCTGTCTAGAACAGTTTTCCACCTGGGAATCTGTGCTTAGAGGTTGGAGTGACAAGAGGGAAATGTGCCTAATGAGCTGATACGGGGAGCCGTAAATATCTCTCGCTCTTCCGTCTCTCATTGTGTGTAAACTTGGGATGGAAGGAGCATGGTTTCTATTTGTCTGTTTGGAGTCCTGTTTCTGGCTGGGGGACTGATGCTTTACTCCCTCCTGCTGTCTTATTTGGGGACAGAGCTCTAGTCTCCATCAACAACCATCTAGGGAGGAATTCAGACATCCCAACAGAGACCTTTCTCTTAGAGTTTCCATCCAGGTGAGTCCAACAACCCAGTTGACCTTGCATGAGAAGGTCAAAGAGAATGGAAGCCAAGAACATTTACCTATTGTCACCTAAGAGCCAATTGAACCTAGCCCAGAGGCAAGAGATCACTGTGTTTGTCTGCTTGGTTAATTAATTATTGCATTTATTTCAGTGGCTGCATAATTTTTCATAGTGTGACTGTGCTACTCACACTTTTGATGGTCTTGCATATTCTTTACCACTAAATTGCTGGTATATAAATGCTAAAAAATTTTTAAGATTGTTAAGATTAAACTGTAGTACTAAAAGGGGGTGATTTTGTCCCCCAGGGCACATTGGGGAATGTCAGAGACATATTTGGCTGTCACACTGGAGAGTCATGGGTGGTGGCCGTGGATGCTCTAAATGTCCTTTAAAGCACTGGACGGACCTCTTCACAGAGGATAATCTGTCCCAGAACGTCAATAGTCCTGAGACTAAAAAAACCTGAGTTGATGAATATCATTAGTTGTAATATTTATAGGTGTCTTCAGGTTGTTTTTGAACCTTGTAACACTTTACTTTTCTGCCAGCGAAATAACAGAGTACCCCTTTTGTTACCGGTTTAAAAGTTCCAACTCCAATCAAAGTGACAGCTCTTTAATTTTTTTCCCAGGCTGATGGGTATGAAAGAGATTTCTTCTTGTTTTCTTAAACTATTACTCAGTTTCACCAAACTTCATATTTTTGATCACCATTTTGATTCACCTATTATTATTACATGCCCACATTATATTTGCCCATTTTTCTACAGTTAGCATTTCAAATGATTTCTACAGATTGTTTCTCAATCGATTTTGGGAGCATATTTTTGACCATATAGAATTTTAATTTTATTTAAATATGTCTATCCTCTTACTACTGAGTTTCTTACTTTAAGATGGTTTTGCCTACTTGTATATTATGTGTTTTTTGAGATGTTCATCTAAGATGTATTGGTTACTGTTACACTGAGATTGTAATCCCTCTGATTTTTTGTAAGATGTCTCAGAGAGGGAACCAATTTCATATTCTTCCAGATACATAGCCATTTATGCCAGCTATTATTTAACAATCTAGCCTTTAACAACTAAATTTAGATACAACCTTGCCATGTGGTATATGTCCATATTCATTGAGACTTAATTCCTGATTTATTTAACAAATAATAACTGAGCATCTGCTATGAACCAGAACATTCTATGAATATTATATATTATATTCTTTTATGTCTAGATCTTTCACAATTTAATTATTAATCCAAGTTGATGTTATTAAATTATTGCTATTTTATATCTTCTTTCAGTTAATATTGATTCTTGATTCAATTTTACTTACTACAGTTGTTTTGAAATTACTCATTTTAACCTGGTTTTATTATCTCTTCATTTGTTTTATTTTATAACTTTTCAGGTTCTTATATTTGTTTCTATACAAGTGCACATATACTCACATACCTTTGTGAAAAATACAAAAGTGAACATAGTGTGAAGTCCCTGCTTTTTTGGATCATGTATTATAATGGCAAGAATAGAGTACAATGAACTAAATGCGTGTATGACATAATGTCCTCAGGCACGATCATATGAAGAATGTTATTCAGTATAAAAAGATAGAATTGTCATGGCATGTGCAGGATTTACAAAGTATGATCTGGGAGACCTTTGTATGTTGCATAAAGTCCAGAAACAGTATTAGAGTGTACCCATTGGGTTTGTCAAAAAAGAGATCAAAACTCAAAGCCCAAGAATAACAAAGAAAAGATGTCACATAAGAAAAGGGAGAAAGAGGCCAACCTCATCCCCTATTGGACCATATAAAAACTAATTGGTCAAATAATTATGGAATAAGCACAGGAAAAACAAGTCTTCTAGTACTTGATACTAAAAATGCCCAACTTTTGTTATGATTTATATATTTTCTTTTGTGAAGTGCTGGTTTATCCCTTTGCTCATTTTCTCTTGGGTGTACAATATGTAAGGTTTTTGAAACCTTAATAATATCACTACTTTTGTCTTTTGGACAAGTTTATTTTTGTTCTCATTATTTTGTGTGCGTGTGTATGTGAGGAAGACTGGCTCGGAGCTAACATCCATTGCCAATCCTCCTCTTTTTGCTGGGGAAGAATAGCTCTGAGCTAACATCTGTGCCCATCTTCCTCTATTTTGTATATGGGATGCTGCCAAAGCATGGCTTGATGAGTGGTGCATCAGTCTGCGCCTGAGATCTGGGCCTTGCAACCCTGGGCCATCGAAGTGCAGCACACCAACTTAACCACTACGTCACCGGGCCGGCCCCCTCTTCTCATTATTTTTGCCAAGCATCAAGGAAATCTAATAAGAGCTGGAACGTTGCCAGAACCAAGGAAGATTATTCATCCTCACAGCCTCTCAGGGACCACCTGAGGTCATCAGGTCTTTTTTCCTCCTCATCCATTTCATTCCTCTCTCTCTGTCTCTCTGTTTATTGAACAGATTTTTTTATGTTTGTTTAAATACATGGCAGAAAATAGTCATCCCAATATGGAGCACCAAGTTTATTTGTCCATGTGAGGCTTAAGAATTTGAATTTCTTGGAATCATTTCTACATTATACAGGGGAAAGATCATTGATCTGGCCAACTTGGGTTGTATCTATTCCTAGCATAGATGAGGCTAAGAAAAACATGGAAATAACACAATCCAGGAGGCCATGGTGAACTGTGTGTGTCTGTGTGCATGTGTGTGTGTGTGTGTGACTTGTGGAGTGTGAGCAGTCTTCAGAACATGGGTAGAAGGACTCAAATATTCTAAGGTGATTCTTATGATACAGGGGCCAGTATTCAATCAAGAGAAGGTACTAAGGAGGGGATCTGTTTCAATTCATGGGATGCCTTTGCAACAAGATTAATAAAGTGCAAGAGGTAGTATGCATGAGGAAATCCCTGTGCCTTAAGGTTTCAGCAGCAGCAAAGAGGCCACATCGCTCCTCAACATGTCTGACACCATTTCTCATCACTCTCCCTCATGCTTATTCACCTTGCAACACTGGCTTCACTTGTTTTGACTTGAACATTTGAAACAAGCGCCTTCCTCAGGGTGTTTGCATCAGCCATTCCCTCTGCCAGGCACACACCTCCCCACATAAACTTGCATCTACCCCCCTTTCTTACTTGAGTTCTTGTTCACATGTCACCTTGTTCGCAGGTCTTGCCTAAATACCCATGAAAAATAGAATGCCCTATTCACTCTCTTCTTTATATCTGCCTTTCTTTTCTTTATACCACCTGCCACCATCTACAAAGTTATATAATACTACTATTTACTTATATATTCTTTCTCCATGAGTGAATTGTAGGGCCTTTTGTTCTTCAGCACCCTATACTCATTGCCTAGACAGTGCCTCATGGACAGTACTCAATATATATTCCTGAAATACATGAAGAATTTCTCATAAAAACTGTAGAAAACATGATCACTTAGAGAAAAGCCTGATTGGAATAAAAATTCCGTATCAGAGGTGCTAAGGGGGATCCCCTAAAAGGGACCAGATCTATAGACAAAATATTAAACTCAATTTCTTGACTGTAAAATATAAATTGTAGCATTGCAAATAAGTGAGTAATGCAAGTTTGTTTGAAAATTAGTCATGTTATTTCCTTCTTTCCTGGAAGTCACCTCGACCACATGGAACCAGGCAATGATACACGAATTTCAGAATTTCTTCTTTTAGGATTTTCAGAAGAACCAGAATTGCAACCCCTCATATTTGGGCTTTTCCTCTCCATGTACTTGATCACTGTGTTTGGAAACATGCTCATCATTCTGGCCACCGTCTCAGACTCCCACCTCCACAAACCCATGTACTTCTTCCTCTCCAACCTGTCCTTTGTAGACATCTGTTTCACTTCTACCACCATCCCAAAGATGCTGTGGAACATCCAGACAGAGAGTAAAGTTATCACCTATGAAGATTGCATCACACAGATTTATTTTTTCACACTCTCTGCAGTGTTGGACATCTTTCTGCTGACAGTGATGGCCTATGACCGGTTTGTAGCCATCTGCCACTCCCTGCACTACATAGTCATCATGAACCCCCAGCTCTGTGGACTGCTGGTTCTGGTGTCCTGGATCATGTGTATCCTGAATTCCTTATTACAAAGCTTTATGGTGTTGCAGCTTTCCTTCTGTACCAACTTGGAAATCCCCCACTTTTTCTGTGAACTGAATCAGATGGTCCAACTTGCCTGTTCCGACACCTTTCTTAATAACATGGTGATGTATTTTGCAGCTGTCCTGCTGGGTGGTGGGCCTTTTGCTGGTGTCCTTTACTCTTACTCTAAGATAGTTTCCTGCATATGTGGAATCTCATCAGCTCAAGGGAAGTATAAAGCATTTTCTACCTGTGAATCTCACCTCTCGGTTGTCTCCTTATTTTATTGTACAATGCTAGGTGTGTACCTTAGCTCAGCTACTACCCACAGCTCACACTCAAGTGCAACAGCCTCAGTGATGTACACTGTGGTCACGCCCATGCTGAACCCCTTCATCTACAGTCTGAGGAATAAAGACATAAAGAGGGCTCTGAAAGCATTCTTTGTGAAAGGAGCTGCAAAATTGTCCTAGGACTGAAGAAGTCCCATGATTGCAGAGGTCAAAGCCTCAGATTCAGAAATTGTGATTATTTGATCAGATTGTGAAAGTAGTATGCTCTTTCTTTATTTCCTGGATTTTCCATTTCTTTGACCTCAACTTTTCTATTCAACTTATGTAACTGACTTTACTAAGCTTTCTGCTCTTTCTGATATCCAGCAGTTTTCCCTTTGTTGTTTTCCTAATCGGCCAAATTTATATCAAACCATGGATCGGAAATATTTGGAAATTCCTATGAACGTAATGAGAAAATATGGACTTATTTAGAATAATTTTTCTCAAATGATATATATCATACCAAATAATTTTTGTTTTGTTTTACTAAATGTCATGACTTGTACTACCCTTATGGAAAAAACTACACTAGATGATGAAGGCAATTTATATAATTTTATAATAGAGAAAATTGTGAGACAACTAGACCATAAGATTGTGAGACCATTACATTCAAGGGATCTAATCCAGACAAGTTGCTCAATCTTAGACTTTGGAGAAAATTGTAAATCGTGGTTGAGATAAGGGGCTGCAAGGTTAGACCTCCGGAAGCCAGCAGAAATCATGAGAAAGGACTAATAAAAACTGGATTCACTTAATTCTAACCTGGTCTATTGGAAATACAGAATTTAGAGGGAAACTTCTCTTCTCTTCAGACTAGTTTCCCACAGAGAAACCATGTGTCTGGAAGTTGGAGTATGTCTGCCGAATGAGCAGACAAAGAGGCTGTAAGTATCTGCTCTGCTGCAGTCTCTCAGTGTGTGCAAGCTTGTGCTGGAGCAGACCTGATTGTTGCTTTTGGAGTCCTAAGTTTGGCTGGGGGACTGATGCTTCACTCCTTTCTGCTGTCTTGTCTGGGAGAGAGCTTCAGTCTTCACCGTCAGCCATCCAGGAGGAATTCAGACTTGCACACAGAGGAGACCTTCCCCCTCCGAATACTTGTCCAAGTGAGCTGAGAGCCCAGTATGTACTGCGGGAAAGAGTCAAGAGAATCAAAGCTGAGCACATTTACCTGAGGTCACCTGACAGCCACCAGCCTAGCCCAGAGCCTAGAGAAGGTTGTTTCCTTGTCTGATTAAGTAATTAGTGAATTTATTTATTATGGAAAAAAGAGAAGTGAACTTTGAACTCACAACTGATGGGTAGTTGTTGACAATTAGGGGATGGAAGCCCATTTAGAGAAGGGAATGGGAGGGCATAAAGTGCTTCTAGTAAAAGTGAAATCGGCAACCAGTCAGCCATTGATGATTAAGTAGCTAGGAACTAAAGGTTTTTTTCCTTTTTGCAATTACTGGCTATAGCTTTTAGCTGTTTACCCACCCATTGTTAACTGTGCTATTTAGGCAATATGCTATCTGACTCCCACTAAATTCCTATAGATAACATCTCCTTGAAGCCTGGGTCACCATGGTAATGGATGTTTGAGCTGTTTTTCAGAAATTTGAACCCCTTGTCCACTTCAGGCCGGTTGAGACCACCAACCCATCAACTGGGCCCACGCAGATGTCCGATAAGTGACCTTTTGACTTCAAGAGGCTAAAAACTCCACCCTCGGGTCATGCCAATGCCGTCATTTTGTGAATATGCATCCTATGAAGAGGCATGAAGCCTGACAACGCCTGCACAGATCATCAATTACCTCACCTCCAATCATCTATCTCCACATTTCGGACCACCTTGCCCTCTTCCAGATAAATATCCCTGAGTCCCTATTTATGGGCAAGTGAATATGAGACTCATTCCCCCATTTCCTCACGTGGCTGCCTTGTGATTAAACCATCTCTTTCTGCAATCTCGTCGTCTGGTGATTGGCTTTCTGGGCAGCGGGCAAAATGAACCTGGTTTGTTAACAAAAGTAGAACATATCCAAGGAGTTTTGAAATTAAAGAGAGTAGAAAAACAGGATATTGTGCATGGAAGAATGTCCAGTGAGATGACAGTATTTCTTTTTTATATTTAAGATGGGGCATATTCAACTATGTTTCTGTATTGATAGGAAAGATCTAGACTAATGTATTGCTTGCAAATATTGCCTTGCAATAGTAGTTCATGAGACATGCATTTCACGGTATCTTCTTTCACTCTGGGCATTCACATAAAAAGAAGTTTTTATTTGATAAGTGAAAAAGGGTATGCTAAACAGCTTTGTTTTGCAAGTATTTCATTATGTGCAACCTGAAAATATTCGTGGGTTAGTTATTCATATATTTTCTCTATTATAAAATTTCTGTATGAGTTTTTTACATTTGTATAGTGGGATCAGAGGGTTTTTGTTCCTGTTTTTTATTGCATTCTACTAAACAAGGAATTGGAGTTTTTTTTAACCAATTATGCCGTTTGTCACTGAGTTCTTGTATGTATGTATAGATGTATCTGCAGGGAATTGTGAGTGTTTATTAATAAAGTGAGGTTGAGTCTATCACTCAGTCATATTGTATTTCCTCTATCGCTTTTTTAGATTTTATTCTTTTTGCTGAAAGAATTTAGCTGTCATTTTTATATCCTTCACTTGCAAATCCTTTCTATAAACAAAAATAAAAGTGAATGTTCTTCTGTATACTTAGTGCTAAAAAATCACCCTTTACACGTCTTACCAATAGTTTTCACATTCCGTTATTTCTTATTCCTTTCAGCTTTAGACCTATTTCTAAAAGTTGCATCATCTTTTTTTGTGTGTGTGAGGAAGATCAGCCCTGAGCTAACATCCATGCTAATCTTCCTCTTTTTGCTGAAGAAAACCAGCTCTGAGCTAACATCTATTGCCAATCCTCCTCCTTTTTTTCTCCCCCAAAGCCCCAGTAGATAGTTGTAGGTCATAGTTGCACATCCTTCTAGTTGCTGTATGTGGGACGCAGCCTCAGCATGGCCGGAGAAGTGGTGCGTTGGTGCGCACCCGGGATCCGAACCCCAGCCGCCAGTAGCGGAGTGCACGCACTTAATCGCTAAGCCACCGGGCCGGCCCGTGTCAGCTTTAACTGTCATCTCGAAGGCATTCTTATTTACCTCTGACTAAAGATCACCTTTACCTTCCATAAGCATATTTGAATCCACATATCTTTATATAAGATGAAATTATAACTTAGATACTGCTTCCTCTCAAATTTTAGAAGCCCTTCTATTGTATTCTTTAATTTCCAAGTAATTGGAAATGTAATCCAGAATTAGTGACCCATATTGATGTCACTAAGTTATATTTTATGTCTTTATATAAGTAAGTTTTAGATTGTCATTCAATTTTGTTTCCTACAATTGTTTTGATACCACTATACTTAACCTAACTTCATTCCTACTGACAATCTTTATTCCATAAGTTTTTATCTTTTTTAAAAACTTCTCTCCCTGTGCTATGCACATATACATATTCATACACTTTTATACAAAATCGTGAATAGTACCCTGTGCCCATTGTAAATGCTCTTTATGTCTTAGTGCAGTCTTTATTTCTCTGTGCCCACTCTTCCTTCTTACTCAATAATACCTCCAATCAGCTAGTGCAACGGTGATTCATTATTTGAATGTCTGCAAAATATTTCATGGTGTGGCTGCACTATTCACACTTTGACAGCATTACATATTCTTTCTCAATATGTTGCTATTATAACAATTGTACAAAAATATTTTGAGATTATGTTAAAACTCTGGTTCTCTACCAGAGGCAATATTGTTTCCCCAAGGGACATTGAGCAACGTCCAGAGACATTTTTGGCTGTCACATGGAGAGTTGTCAGTAGAGGCCAAGGATGCTCTAAACATCCTACAATGCACAGGACAGACCCCACCAGAGAATGATCTGGCCCAGAATGTCAATAGTGCCGAGATTGAGAAAACTTGAGTTAAAAAAAAGTCTGTATTTTAATATTTATAGCTGGATTCAGGTTGTTTCCCCAATGTGTAACACTTTACATTTTTGCCACCAAAATTAAAGAATCCTCTTTTGCTACCTGTTTAAAAATTTCAACCCCAATCAACATGAGAGATCTTTAAGTTGTCTCATAGGCTGGTGGATGTGAAAGAGATTTCTTGTTGTTTTCTGAAACTACTACTCAATTTGAGCAAATATTCATATATTTGATCACCATGTTCATTATTATGTGCCCATTCTTACTGTATTTCCATGAATTATGTGCCTATTGTTCTACAGTTACCAGCATTTCAAATAATTTTTACAAATTATTGTTTATTGACTTTTGGTTGGATATATTGTCCATAAAAAGGTTTTAAATTTTATGTAAACGTGTATATGTTCTTACTTCTGATTTTCTTGCCTTAGTATGATGGATTTACTTACCTGTAGCTTTTATATGTAGTTTTGTTACATGTTCACCTAAAATGTACTGTTTCCCTTTACATTGAGGTCTTTAATCCCTCTGAATTTTTTTTTTTTTTGAGGAAAATCAGCCTTGAGCTAACATCCATGCCAATCCTCCTCTTTTTGCTGAGGAAGTACGGCTCTGAGCTAACATCTATTGCCAATCCTCCTCCTTTTTTTCCCCAAAGCCCCAGTAGATAGTTGTATGTCATAGTTGCACATCCTTCTAGTTGCTGTATGTGGGACGCCACCTCAGCATGGCCGGAGAAGCGGTGCATCGGTGCACGCCCGGGATCAGAACCCCGGCCGCCAGTAGCAGAGTGCACGCACTTAACCGCTAAGCCACAGGGCCAGACCCCCTCTGAATTTTTTAAGATGTGTGAGATAGGGAACCACTTCATTTTCTTCCAGATGGATAGCTATTTATGCCATATTTTATTAAACAATCAAACATTATGATCTAAATTGAAATATACCACGTCATATGTTAAATGTCCATATGTACTGAGACCTAATTCCTGATTCATTCAATAAATAATAACAGAGCATCTGCTACATACCAGAAAGTTCTAGGTACATTTGATGTTATATTTTCTTATGTCAAGCTCTTTGCTAAATTAATTATTGATTCATATTGATATTATTCAATTACTGTTATTTTACATCATAT